TTCGTCGGGAACAGGTAAGCAAATTTCTCTTTTTTTTTAAAAAAAAAAAAAGAAAAGGACGATGAACAGTTTGGAAATTTTTGTCGCACGATTTGATGATAACGAGAGATTGTTCTCTTTGGCCGCGATATAATTGCAATTGAGCGAGAACGTGCGAGGATAATACTCGAAAGGATCGCAATAGAATTTTGAACGGTTTGAAGGCGAAGAACGGGTCTAACACACGTGAGGAAAGAAAAAGAAAGAGAAAATTACCTGGTGCACGACTCATTATAAATTTTTATTCCCGAATACGAAAGTCACTTTTTATTTATCAAACATAACTTTCTATTTCCAATTAGATGAGATTTACTTTTCTTAAAACCACTTTATCTACCACATTATCACTTGCCTAATATTCCTCCCCCATTTTTTCTCGAGCAGAGTCGAAGAATAAGTAGCCCAACGACATGCCAACGCCTAAGGCCTGTACGATGGAGGTCTGATGCGATGGAGGCGGCAAATGTGTACGACGTCCAGGAGAGCATCCCCACCTCCGTGATATCCCAATGGACGGTCTGCATCGCAGCGCCATCAGAACCGCCGTCAACGTCTCCATCTCCGACTCCCTCCTACTGTTGCCTGCATCGTCCGCCGCCTCGAGGGTCAGCATATGACTCGTCGGGGGTAGGGACAACTTGTCAGAAATGTGTTGTTCACTGATTTAGGGTTTACCTAATTTTGATTTGCTTATTTTGCTTTTGGGGTTTAATTCATTGTTTTGTGATTGCATATACGTGAGTTGCTGGGTTTGTTTTGTTTCTAATGTTGCTCAATTTTCATTTGTGTTTTGAAATAACAACGTCGAATTTTTAGTCTATGATTTACATTTGGGGTCGGATCCTAGGTCCAGCTGAATTTAAGAATTTTACACCAATAATTTACTAAAAATGCTATTTGGGTCGAATCCTCTCCATTGATGACTATTTTTTCAAGATGTGTCTATGGGAGTATCGGGTGAGTCTTAATCATCTGGTGCACGACATGCGGGAGGTAACCGTGTCGTGTTCTGAAAAGCCCTTCGGAGAAGAAGCGCTAAAATAATTCGATAGGTAATGATTCTATTGGTTTAATTTCTATGTTACATTTTACTATTTTTCAACACGATCTAAGATATTGGTTATGGGTTTAAGCAGCCCAAGGCTTGATAAGAAAACTGGGCATATGGCAATATTCTACATGGGTTGGATCATGGTGTTCAACCATTTGCCGGCCGATATGGCTAAAGAGATTATATTGCTCATCGAGCTTACCACCCACAGCGCGGTGGAACTCGCCACCAGCCGTGCGAGTGTAGCTGCCCCTTTAAGATGCATTTGAATCTGGTAAAAGAAAAGAATATTGTTATCAAATTTTCCATTATTATTATCAGTAAGTTCTATATAAACTCGAAGGGACTTTACGTGTTCTGTCTAAATCAGGGGTACGCCGACCGCAACCTGATCGCAAAGTGGAAAAAGCCCGACTATGAGAGGCTATGCTGCCTGAGGTGTGTATGCAGCCCGGGGACCATAACTTTCAGACCACTTGCGTCTGTCGAGTCCCGCAGCATCTGCGCGAGGAGAAGGTCATGGAGTGAGTGCATTTTGGCTGTGGGGGCTGCACGAGTGGAGAATGAAAATCGTGTTCCGAACTGTTTGCTAAGAAAGTGTTATTTGGCTCTTGTGTATATCCTGTGTAATATGAAGCGTTTGGATATTATACAGTTGAAGTTTTTTTACTAATGTGGTCTCCAAGTAGATATTCTCTTGGTTCTTCTATATATGAAATGGTCTACTTAATTGAGCATGAAATAATGTTATTTGATACTCCCTTCGAAATTGACCTACAAAAATGTAGTGCAGATCTACTGTTTGTTTATGTGAGGTAGATTTGTATTTCGAAGATGTCTATTGATGGTTTTTTTTTTGGTAGTTTATATGAAGTCTTATTTTTCATATTATTTGTTTCTCAATTTGTTTTTCGTGGTAGTTAAAAAAATAGTTAATAAACTTAAGATAAACTAAAAATAAACTGAAGATATAGGAAAAAAATTAAAAAAATAGATAATAAACTAAGATAAACTTAAGATATAGTAAACAAAAATAGATAATATACCTAAGATAAACTAAAGATAAACTTAAGATATAGTAAAAAAATTAAAAAATAGATAATAAACTTAAGATAAACTTAAGATTTAGTAAACAAAAATAGATAATATACCTAAGATAAACTAAAGATAAACTTAAGATATAGTAAAAAAAATTAGAAAATAGATAATAAACTTAAGATAAACTTAAAAATAAATAATAAACTTAAGATAAACTTAAGATATAGTAAACAAAAAATAGATAATATACTTAAAAATAGAGATAATGTAACAAAAATGTAGACTAAAAAAAGGTTTATAAGAAAAAAAAAAAAAAAAA